CCCTGTCTCTCACCATCTCTCTCTCTCCACCTCTCTCTCTCTCACCATCTCTCTCACCATCTCTCTCACCATCTCTCTCTCTCACCATCTCTCTCTCTCACCATCTCTCACCATCTCTCTCTCTCACCATCTCTCTCTCTCTCTCACCATCTCTCACCATCTCTCTCTCACCATCTCTCTCTCTCTCACCATCTCTCTCTCACCATCTCTCTCTCACCATCTCTCTCCCCCTGTCTCTCACCATCTCTCTCTCACCATCTCTCTCTCTCACCATCTCTCTCTCTCTCACCATCTCTCTCACCATCTCTCTCTCTCACCATCTCTCTCACCATCTCTCTCACCATCTCTCACTCTCACCATCTCTCTCTCTCACCATCTCTCTCTCTCACCATCTCTCTCTCTCTCACCATCTCTCTCACCATCTCTCTCACCATCTCTCTCTCCATCTCTCTCTCTCACCATCTCTCTCTCCTCCGCTCCGCCCAGCCTCTCGTTCTTCTGGGGTGTGGGCATGAACTTCTTCATGGAAGTGGCTAAGATGTGTACCGCTCGCCACCCCTGTCTCTCCCCCTGTCTCTCACCATCTCTCTCACCATCTCTCTCACCATCTCTCTCACCATCTCTCTCTCTCCCCCTGTCTCTCACCATCTCTCTCACCATCTCTCTCACCATCTCTCTCCCCCTCTCTCTCACCATCTCTCTCTCTCACCATCTCTGTCTCTCACCATCTCTCTCTCTCACCATCTCTCTCCATCTCTCTCTCTCACCATCTCTCTCACCATCTCTCTCTCTCACCATCTCTCTCTCTCTCTCACCATCTCTCTCACCATCTCTCTCACCATCTCTCTCACCATCTCTCTCTCACCATCTCTCTCTCTCTCTCCTCCGCTCCGCCCAGCCTCTCGTTCTTCTGGGGTGTGGGCATGAACTTCTTCATGGAAGTGGCTAAGATGTGTACCACTCGCCACCCCTGTCTCTCCCCCTGTCTCTCACCATCTCTCTCTCTCACCATCTCTCTCTCTCACCATCTCTCTCTCACCATCTCTCTCACCATCTCTCTCACCATCTCTCTCCCCCTCTCTCTCACCATCTCTCTCACCATCTCTCTCTCTCACCATCTCTCCCCCTGTCTCTCTCTCACCATCTCTCTCTCACCATCTCTCTCACCATCTCTCTCCCCCTCTCTCTCACCATCTCTCTCTCTCACCATCTCTCTCACCATCTCTCTCACCATCTCTCTCTCTCACCATCTCTCTCTCTCACCATCTCTCTCACCATCTCTCTCTCTCACCATCTCTCTCACCATCTCTCTCTCACCATCTCTCTCACCATCTCTCTCACCATCTCTCTCTCTCACCATCTCTCACCATCTCTCTCACCATCTCTCTCACCATCTCTCTCTCTCTCTCCTCCGCTCCGCCCAGCCTCTCGTTCTTCTGGGGTGTGGGCATGAACTTCTTCATGGAAGTGGCTAAGATGCGTACCGCTCGCCACCCCTGTCTCTCCCCCTGTCTCTCACCATCTCTCTCTCACCATCTCTCTCTCTCACCATCTCTCTCTCTCTCTCACCATCTCTCTTTCTCTCTCACCATCTCTCTCACCATCTCTCTCTCTCACCATCTCTCTCACCATCTCTCACCATCTCTCTCTCTCCCCCTCTCTCTCACCATCTCTCTCACCATCTCTCTCACCATCTCTCTCTCTCTCACCATCTCTCTCTCCCCCTCTCTCTCACCATCTCTCTCTCTCACCATCTCTCTCTCTCTCACCATCTCTCTCTCTCTCACCATCTCTCTCTCCTCCTCTCTCTCACCATCTCTCTCACCATCTCTCTCACCATCTCTCTCACCATCTCTCTCTCTCACCATCTCTCTCTCTCACCATCTCTCTCACCATCTCTCTCACCATCTCTCTCTCTCACCATCTCTCTCTCTCTCACCATCTCTCACCATCTCTCTCTCTCACCATCTCTCTCTCTCACCATCTCTCTCACCATCTCTCTCTCTCACCATCTCTCTCCCCCTCTCTCTCACCATCTCTCTCTCTCACCATCTCTCTCTCACCATCTCTCTCTCTCACCATCTCTCTCACCATCTCTCACCATCTCTCTCACCATCTCTCTCTCTCACCATCTCTCTCTCTCACCATCTCTCTCTCTCACCATCTCTCTCTCTCACCATCTCTCTCTCTCACCATCTCTCTCTCTCACCATCTCTCTCTCACCATCTCTCTCTCACCATCTCTCTCTCACCATCTCTCTCACCATCTCTCTCTCTCACCATCTCTCTCTCTCTCCCCCGCTCCGCCCAGCCTCTCGTTCTTCTGGGGTGTGGGCATGAACTTCTTCATGGAAGTGGCTAAGATGTGTACCGCTCGCCACCCCTGTCTCTCCCCCTGTCTCTCACCATCTCTCTCTCTCACCATCTCTCTCTCTCACCATCTCTCTCACCATCTCTCTCTCTCACCATCTCTCTCTCTCTCTCACCATCTCTCACCATCTCTCTCACCATCTCTCTCACCATCTCACCATCTCTCTCTCTCACCATCTCTCTCACCATCTCTCTCTCACCATCTCTCACTCGCACCATCTCTCTCTCTCTCACCATCTCTCTCACCATCTCTCTCACCATCTCTCTCTCTCTCACCATCTCTCACCATCTCTCTCTCCCCCTCTCTCTCCCCCTGTCTCTCACCATCTCTGTCTCTCTCCATCTCTCTCTCTCACCATCTCTCTCACCATCTCTCTCACCATCTCTCTCTCTCTCACCATCTCTCTCACCATCTCTCTCACCATCTCTCTCTCTCACCATCTCTCTCACCATCTCTCTCACCATCTCTCTCTCACCATCTCTCTCACCATCTCTCTCACCATCTCTCACCATCTCTCTCACCATCTCTCACCATCTCTCTCTCTCCTCCGCTCCGCCCAGCCTCTCGTTCTTCTGGGGTGTGGGCATGAACTTCTTCATGGAAGTGGCTAAGATGTGTACCGCTCGCCACCCCTGTCTCTCCCCCTGTCTCTCACCATCTCTCTCTCTCCATCTCTCTCTCTCTCACCATCTCTCTCACCATCTCTCTCACCATCTCTCTCTCTCACCATCTCTCTCTCTCACCATCTCTCACCATCTCTCTCTCTCACCATCTCTCTCTCTCTCTCACCATCTCTCACCATCTCTCTCTCACCATCTCTCTCTCTCTCACCATCTCTCTCTCACCATCTCTCTCTCACCATCTCTCTCCCCCTGTCTCTCACCATCTCTCTCTCACCATCTCTCTCTCTCACCATCTCTCTCTCTCTCACCATCTCTCTCACCATCTCTCTCTCTCACCATCTCTCTCACCATCTCTCTCACCATCTCTCACTCTCACCATCTCTCTCTCTCACCATCTCTCTCTCTCACCATCTCTCTCTCTCTCACCATCTCTCTCACCATCTCTCTCACCATCTCTCTCTCCATCTCTCTCTCTCACCATCTCTCTCTCCTCCGCTCCGCCCAGCCTCTCGTTCTTCTGGGGTGTGGGCATGAACTTCTTCATGGAAGTGGCTAAGATGTGTACCGCTCGCCACCCCTGTCTCTCCCCCTGTCTCTCACCATCTCTCTCACCATCTCTCTCACCATCTCTCTCACCATCTCTCTCTCTCCCCCTGTCTCTCACCATCTCTCTCACCATCTCTCTCACCATCTCTCTCCCCCTCTCTCTCACCATCTCTCTCTCTCACCATCTCTGTCTCTCACCATCTCTCTCTCTCACCATCTCTCTCCATCTCTCTCTCTCACCATCTCTCTCACCATCTCTCTCTCTCACCATCTCTCTCTCTCTCTCACCATCTCTCTCACCATCTCTCTCACCATCTCTCTCACCATCTCTCTCTCACCATCTCTCTCTCTCTCTCCTCCGCTCCACCCAGCCTCTCGTTCTTCTGGGGTGTGGGCATGAACTTCTTCATGGAAGTGGCTAAGATGTGTACCGCTCGCCACCCCTGTCTCTCCCCCTGTCTCTCACCATCTCTCTCTCACCATCTCTCTCTCACCATCTCTCACCATCTCTCACCATCTCTCTCACCATCTCTCACCATCTCTCTCTCTCACCATCTCTCTCACCATCTCTCTCTCACCATCTCTCTCACCATCTCACCATCTCTCTCTCTCACCATCTCTCTCTCTCACCATCTCTCTCACCATCTCTCACCATCTCTCTCACCATCTCTCACCATCTCTCACCATCTCTCTCTCTCTCACCATCTCTCTCTCCCCCGCTCCGCCCAGCCTCTCGTTCTTCTGGGGTGTGGGCATGAACTTCTTCATGGAAGTGGCTAAGATGTGTACCGCTCGCCACCCCTGTCTCTCCCCCTGTCTCTCACCATCTCTCTCTCACCATCTCTCTCTCACCATCTCTCTCTCTCACCATCTCTCTCACCATCTCTCTCACCATCTCTCTCTCTCACCATCTCTCTCACCATCTCTCTCTCTCACCATCTCTCTCTCACCATCTCTCTCTCTCTCACCATCTCTCTCTCTCACCATCTCTCTCTCACCATCTCTCTCCCCCTCTCTCTCACCATCTCTCACCATCTCTCTCTCTCACCATCTCTCTCTCTCACCATCTCTCTCTCTCCTCCGCTCCGCCCAGCCTCTCGTTCTTCTGGGGTGTGGGCATGAACTTCTTCATGGAAGTGGCTAAGATGTGTACCGCTCGCCACCCCTGTCTCTCCCCCTGTCTCTCACCATCTCTCACCATCTCTCTCTCTCTCTCACCATCTCTCTCACCATCTCTCTCTCTCACCATCTCTCTCACCATCTCTCACCATCTCTCTCTCTCACCATCTCTCTCACCATCTCTCTCTCACCATCTCTCTCACCATCTCACCATCTCTCTCTCTCACCATCTCTCTCTCTCACCATCTCTCTCACCATCTCTCACCATCTCTCTCACCATCTCTCACCATCTCTCACCATCTCTCTCTCTCTCACCATCTCTCTCTCCCCCGCTCCGCCCAGCCTCTCGTTCTTCTGGGGTGTGGGCATGAACTTCTTCATGGAAGTGGCTAAGATGCGTGCCGCTCGCCACCTCTGGGCCGAACTGCTGACAGAAAAGTTCCAACCCCAGAATCCCAAATCGCTGCTGCTGAGGGCTCACTGCCAAACGTCAGGCTGGTCGCTCACTGAGCAGGTGAGCAAAGACACGCACACGGAGAGAGAGACAGAGACACAGAGAGACACAGAGACACTGAGACACACACAGAGAGACACAGAGACACACACACACACAGAGAGACACACACACACAGAGAGACACAGACACACAGAGAGACACACACACAGAGAGACACACACACACAGAGACACACAGAGACACAGAAAGAGACAGAGAGACAGAGACACAGAGACACACAGAGAGACACACAGAGAGACAGAGAGAGACACAGAGACACACACACAGAGACACAGAGAGAGAGACACACAGAGACACACACAGAGACACAGAGACACACAGAGACACACAGAGAGACACAGAGACACACACACACAGAGACTCACACACACACAGAGACACACACAGAGAGACGCACACAGAGAGACACAGAGAGACACAGAGAGACAGAGACACAGAGACACACAAAGAGAGAGACAGAGACACACAGAGACACACACAGAGAGAGACACAGAGAGAGACACAGAGAGACAGAGAGACAGAGACACACAAAGAGAGACACACAGAGACACACACAGAGAGAGACACACAGAGACACACACAGAGAGAGACACACAGAGACACACACACAAAGACACGCACACAGAGAGAGACACACAGAGAGAGACACACAGAGACACACACACAGAGACTCACACAGAGAGAGAGACACACAGAGACACACACAGAGAGACACACACAGAGACACACAGAGAGACACAGAGAGACACAGAGACAGAGACACAGAGACACACAAAGACACACAGAGACACACACAGAGAGAGACACAGAGAGACACAGAGAGACAGAGAGAGACAGAGACACACAAAGACAGACACACAGAGACACAGAGACACACACAGAGACACACACAGAGGGAGACACACACAGAGACACAGAGAGACACACAGAGACACACACAGAGACACAGAGACACACAAAGAGAGAGACACACAGAGACACACAGAGACACACACAGAGACACAGAGACACACACAAAGACACGCACACAGAGAGAGACACAGAGACACACAGAGAGACAGAGAGAGACAGAGAGAGACAGAGACACAGAGACACAGAGACACACAGAGAGAGACACAGAGAGACACACACAGAGACACGCACACGGAGACACGCACACAGAGACACAGAGAGACACACAGAGACACACACAGAGACACAGAGACACACACAGAGACACAGAGAGACACACAGAGACACAGAGACACACACAGAGACACACACACGCACAGAGAGAGACACACACAGAGACACAGAGACACAGAGACACACACAGAGACACACACACGCACAGAGAGAGACACACACAGAGACACAGAGAGATACACAGAGACACAGACACACACAGAGACACACAGACGCACAGAGAGAGACACACACAGAGACACAGAGACACACAGAGACACACACACAGAGATAGAGACACACACAGAGACACACACAGAGACACGCACAGAGAGACACACACACAGAGACACAGAGACACACAGAGACACACACACAGAGACACAGAGACACACACAGAGACACACACAGAGACACGCGCAGAGAGACACACAGAGTTACACAGAGACACAGAGATACAGACAGAGAGACTCACAGAGAGACACACACAGAGACACATAGAGAGACACAGAGACACAGAGAGACACACAGAGACACACACACAGAGACACACACAGAGAGACACACACAGAGACACAGAGACACAGAGAGATACACAGAGAGACACACAGAGAGACACAGAGACACACAGAGACTCACACACAGAGACTCACACAGAGACTCACTCACACAGAGACTCACACACAGAGACTCACACTCACACAGAGACTCACTCACATAGAGACTCACACAGAGACTGACCCTCACACACACACTCACTCACACACAGAGACACACACTCACTCACACAGAGACTAACACACACACAGAGACTCACACAGAGACTCACTCACACACAGAGACTAACACAGAGACTCAACCCCAACCCCAGGACCCGTTCAACAACGTCGTGCGGACCACGGTAGAGGCCTTGGCCGCTGTCTTTGGAGGCACCCAGTCGCTCCACACAAACTCACTCACTCAGAGACTCACACAGAGACTCACTCACACAGAGACTTACTCACACAGAGACTCACTCACTCAGAGACTCACTCACACAGAGACTCACTCACACACACAGAGACTCACTCACACACACAGAGACTCACACACACACACAGAGACTCACTCACTCAGAGACTCACACAGAGACTAACACACACACAGAGACTCACACAGAGACTCACACAGAGACTCACTCACACACACAGAGACTCACTCACACACACACAGAGACTCACTAACACACACTCACAGAGACTCACACAGAGACTCACACAGAGACTCACTCACACACTAACACAGAGACACTCACTAACACACTAACACAGAGACTCACACAGAGACTCACTCACACACACACAGAGACTCACACTAACACAGAGACTCACACACACATTAACACACACTAACACACACACACAGAGACTCACACACACAGAGACTAACACAGAGACTCAACCCCAACCCCAGGACCCGTTCAACAACGTCGTGCGGACCACGGTAGAGGCCTTGGCCGCCGTCTTTGGAGGCACCCAGTCGCTCCACACCAACTCACTCACTCAGAGACTCACTCAGAGACTCACACAGAGACTTACTCACACATAGAATAACACACACACTCACACACACACACACAGACTCACTCACACATAGACTAACACACACACTCACACAGAGGCTCATTCACACACACACAGAGACTCATTCACACTCACTCAGAGACTCACTCACACACACACACACAGACTCACTCACACACAGAGACTAACACAGAGACTAACACATACAGAGACTCACACACTCACACAGAGACTCACACAGAGACTCACTCACACAGAGACTCACACTCACAGACAGAGACTCACTCACACAGAGACTCACTCACACACACAGAGACTAACACAGAGACTCACACAGAGACTCACTCACACACACAGAGACTAACACTCACACACAGAGACTCACACAGAGACTCACTCACTCAGAGACTCACACAGAGACTCACACACACACACTAACACAGAGACTCACACACACACACAGAGACTCACACAGAGACACACACAGAGACTCACTCACACAGAGACTCACTCACTCAGAGACTCACACACTCAGAGACTCACTCACACACTAACACACACACAGAGACTCACACAGAGACTAACACAGAGACTAACACAGAGACTCAACCCCAACCCCAGGACCCGTTCAACAACGTCGTGCGGACCACGGTAGAGGCCTTGGCCGCCGTCTTTGGAGGCACCCAGTCGCTCCACACCAACTCACTCACTCAGAGACTCACTCACACACACAGAGACTCACTCACACAGAGACTCACTCACTCAGAGACTCACTCAGAGACTCACTCACACAGAGACTTACTCACACAGAGACTCACTCACTCAGAGACTCACTCACACACACAGAGACTCACTCACTCAGAGACTCACTCACTCAGAGACTCACTCACACACACACTAACACACACACTCACACAGAGACTCACTCACACACACACAGAGACTCACTCACTCAGAGACTCACTCACACACACGGAGACTCACTCACACAGAGACTCACACAGAGACTAACACTCACACTCACTCACACACACAGAGACTCACACAGAGACTAACACACACACAGAGACTCACACAGAGACTCACACAGAGACTCACTCACACACACAGAGACTCACTCACTCAGAGACTCACACACTCAGAGACTCACTCACTCAGAGACTCACTCACTCAGAGACTCACTCACTCAGAGACTCACTCACTCAGAGACTCACTCACTCACACAGAGACTCACTCACTCACACAGAGACTCACTCACACAGAGACTCACTCACACAGAGACTCTCACACACAGAGACTCACACACACAGAGACTCACACACACACAAAGAGACTCACACACTCACACAGAGACTCACTCACACACACACAGAGACTAACACTCACACAGAGACTCACACTCACAGAGACTCACACTCACACACACAGAGACTAACACAGAGACTCACTCAGAGACTCACACACACACTCACTCACTCACACAGAGACTCACTCACACAGAGACTAACACAGAGACTAACACACACACTCAC